ACAGTACTCAGGTACTTTCTCTCAGTTGTAACAGTACTCAGGTACTTTCTCTCTCAGTTGTAACAGTACTCAGGTACTTAGTGTCTGGAGTACACGCGGCCTGTGTTTTTCTTCTGTCCTGCACACATCTAGGTGGCGGCGGAACGTAATCTCGCGAGAGTGTGAGTTCCCGTTAGCCCCCGCGCTCAGAAGGCTCTGATGGAGGAGGTGGCCATGTTGTAGCGACAGAGACGCTGAGCTGGATCACTACCCGAGACGTTTGGCTCTGAACCGGCCCTGTAAACCACACCACCCTCCGGGACCGTCCGCCCTGTTCCCCGTCACTCCGCCGGGCTACAGACGACACCATGAGCGGCGGGACGCCGTATCTCGGCAGCAAAATCAGCCTCATCTCGAAGGCCGCGATCCGCTATGAGGGGATCCTGTACACCATCGACACCGAGAACTCCACCGTCGCTCTGGCTAAAGGTGACGCTGCTCCCGGCGGTCTGCCCCGGTCACAGCCGGGTGTACAGTACAACCACGGTTCAGAATTAAAGGCGAAAAGAGAAAATGCTCCTGGCGGAGGAAGTTAATTTGTCCACAGGGTTCATTCAAAACACGTTAGCCAAGAGGCTAGGGTTAGCCTGCTAGCGCTAGCGAAGATGCTAACAGCCGAAGCGGCACAGTGCGATGCGTCAGTCCCGCTCACAGCAGCGTCACTTCAGCCAGAGAGAGTGATGCAGCGGGTCACTGAGGGGGGGGGGGGGGGGGGGGGGGGGGGGGGGGGGGGGGGGGGCGCCATGCGGCTCAGTTGAACCCTCCTTTGGTCACCTGTGGGCGGATTAACACGACCCGTGTCTGCTACATGAGTCAGCTAACGTTAGCATGGAGGCTAGCTGCAGAGGATTCAAATGTTTTTCTGTCATCTGCTGCTCTGCATCCTGACGTGACGCCACTCACCTATTCATGACGAAAGCGAAGCAGCAGCTAGTGACGTAATGACCAGCCATGCATTTAAACATGTGTCTGATCTGCCCCTGAAAGTAGTGACCCCTGAATGTAGTGACCCCTGAAAGTAGAATGTAGTGACCGCTGAATGTAGTGACCCCTGAAAGTAGTGACCCCTGAA